TACGGGTTGAAATGCTAAACGTGTTATATATCCTAGAAGCGCTCAGGCATAATAATATGCCAGGACTTCTACCTGGATGAACCAGAAAGGATATAGAACAACTGCTAATTTTTTTTTTACGGCTACGAGTTGAATTCTAAACGTGTTATATATCCTAGAAGCGCTCAGGCATAATGATATCATGCCAGGACTTCTACCTGGATGAACCAGAAAGGATATAGAACAACTGCCTAAATTTTTTTTTACGGCTACGGGTCGAAATGCTAAACGTGTTATATATCCTAGAAGCGCTCAGGCATAATGATATCATGCCAGGACTTCTACCTGGGTGAACCAGAAAGGATGTAGAACAACTACCTAATTGTTTTTTACGGCTACGGGTTGAAATGCTAAACGTGTTATATATCCTAGAAGCGCTCAGGCATAACAATATCCCAGGACTTCTACCTGGATGAACCAGAAAGGATATAGAACAACTGCCTTTTTTTTCTACTCGTCGAAGTTCTAAACGTGTTATTCTTAGAAGCGCTCAGGCTTAATAATATGCCAGGTTTCCAGCGACTGGTTTTAGCTGATTTTGCGGTGCAAAAGAATGGATAATTTACCCGACTTGTAAACAGATATTTCCTTCAGCCGATTGTGTCTCATGCAGGACAATGTCATGTCTGCGTTGTTTTGTTTCTACTGAAGTTTTATCAAAGAAAGCTTAAGCGAAAATAGGGAGATCGCAATTTATACTCTTACGAACTATAAATTAGGGCTGACCTGGACGACGCGTTGAATTGTGCCGCCATCCTTCAAAATATAACCTGGCTGCGTTTAGGGAGACAATTTCCTCTTCCATCCAGATGTACTTGGTATATGTGTTTGCGCGAATCTTCAGACAAAGAATTGGGTATACACTGATTCGAATGGCTTGGCGATACTAAGTGCTTAAGTCTACTTACCGATTACAACATGTTTTGGAAGTATTGAGAAGCGCGCCAAACGAAGTTGTCACAGCGTTCTCGAGCGAACACGGCGCGACCTGGATTGATAAAAATTACCATTACATGCAGGTATCATGCCAGTGATATCTCCTTTCGTCGCATAGTGAATAGTTTGTGAGCACATCCTCGACTCTCGAAACATTTGTCTTGCGCCGCTATAGAAGTTGCTTCTCCCGCGAACCATAGGTAGATTTCCCGCTTAACATAATGTTTGATAATTTATGCAAAAGTTGACCTCGTGGAAGTCAGCAGTGCATTAATCGACTAAAAAATAAACAGACTTCCTACAGGGTTTTGAACACGGTTTTAATTAAAGTACTTTACGAGCGCTGCGGTTGTTGACCGCAAAAGTGTTACGGTGATGGATACTCAACGGGATGATTACGTCACTTCATAGCAACCAGACGGTACGAATTTTTTAACTTCCGGAGCGCTGAGGCTCGTAGTGACAACGGCAAAGAAATGTACAAAAGAATTGTGCTGCACGTGCAAAGTTGCTTTTTTGCTAATTAGACCTATTGTTGTTTTTCACTGTTCTCCGGTGTTGCCTTCACCGCTTAGCATTACACGATTTTATATTTTGTTTGAACAAACTATAAATATTATCGAGAGCTTCGCTTTTAGTCCTGGCTAAATCTATATATTAATTTTCACATGTAGTTATTTCAAATTAAGCAGAAATACCTCTTCTCTAAGCCAATCAAATTGCAGAAATTTCTCATCATGTAGTGGTATAAGCTGATGAACTGAGAGTGAATCCGGAAAAGTGTGGACGGGCAAATTCGATTTGAATAGGCTACGTGTGGATGGACGGGGAAATTTTTAAATCCGCAAGGAGAAATTGCGGATTTAAAAATGTCCGGGTACGTGTGGACGGACAGGGCTTAAGTATGGGAGTTACATCGCCTTGGGTTTACAGATCAAGTCATTTTTAGCATCATTTTGAGCTGAATTTTCCCTTCTGAAATGGATGCACCTCTCTGTATAGGTGCGCATCTACAGCACGACAATATATTACAAAAAGAGGTAAATGCTATCAAAACATAAGAGATACTTTTTTTCCAGTCTCCGGTTTTTGATGACTAATTGTAAGACTTATTTAATATTCAAAATTCGCGGGAGAAATCGATCTCATTATAAACTGGTCTGTAAAAAGGCCAAAGGTGCATTGGCACAAGGGAGTTAATTACTCTCTCCGGTTATGGGCTCCTGGGTTGGCCATTACATCTACATGGTTGCAGAAATGGCTGCTGGATTAATATTCCTTTGTTTAAATTAAAATTGGGGCGATAAACAAAGAGCATTATTGTATGTTATGGTATTTTCTGGAGTGGTCAATTGTAAATGTCATCCCTGGGGATTAATTCAGTTATGACATGCAAATGAGTATATATAATACGAAACACTGGCACGCTTCCCATTCACTTCATTGTATCTGACACAAAGGGCAATTGGCGAACCACCCGCCCTCCCCAGAGAGTAAGTCGGGTTCCAGACTACCTATCTATTCAATGTCTTGGGCTTGGTCCAGGTCAGACTGATTCCCCATACCTTATTATAATGTCATGAATAACAGTACCCAGGAATGAATATTATACTCTGAACGGATCGAGAGGAACGCATCCCTAAAGTGCTCAGGCCCCATACGGACAATCACAAATAGTATTGCTTCTCGTTAAAGCTCAGAGCAAAAAAGGAACAAAAACAACAATAACAACAACAACAACAAAAAGAACAAAATTTGTATCATGATTTAATTATACTCATGATATGCCATATAAAGCTGAGACACCTTGACGTTTGTCAATATGGTGGTGTTCAAAAGGAAGACATTTCATGTCTCTGCTTCTCTTTCTTGCACTCACTACATATTACATAAAAATTTTAAAAGTCTCGATCACTGTAATGGCCCACATTCGATAAATTAAAATTCTAACATGACTTCGAGGCTTTCTTGTCATTTTTCTAATTCGTTTGGTGTTCTTTGTGCTCAAATCTCTTCTGGGAATTGTGAGGCAATTGAGTCGTAAAAAATTTGCAATTTTCACCCTAAAGCCTCGGAGTCTTGTCAGAATGTTAATGTCGATCGTGGGCTATTACTCTTTGATTACTGTGACTCCACGATAAAATTACCCATGAATCTCAATACTAATGGATAATTATTGTCATAAGACTTGCATTGGCATGTATATGTTTGTGCAAATACTTAGATGACACTTTTTCCCCACTCTAAATAAAAAACGACCATGCAATTGCCCGGCCCCTGCCTTGCAACGAATCTTGAAAATGCGGAGCTTAAATCACTGTTTTAGTATATAATACTTAGACTGTATCCGTGCTGGTAACTTTCCCTCTCTACAGCTACTCTACTGTAGCACTCCACTTATGATCGGCTCAGTGTTACCGGACGTTACGCAGTTGGTCTTTTAAGCCAGGAACCAAAGGAAAAAACAAAACAAAACAAGAGTTTACAAGATAAGACTCAAAAGAGGGCTTAACCCTCGGACGTACTAGCAAATTCATACCCCCACCGTGGTACAAGAGGCGGGGGTGGGGGGGCGTTGATAGAACTTTTTGTGCTTTACAAGAAAAATAACACGTGATAAGCGCTTTGCATGATTTTAGCCACTTCGCTTTCTTTTATTGTTGAATTAACTTGAAAAAACATGTATTTTCACCCAAAATTGGCTTGACAACCTGCTACTTATGACGTCATATCTCGTAACCATAGAAACTGACCATCACTAAACTTGTCTCAAAATCCGTGCGAGGGATGACAGAAGAGCTACTGAAAACGTCAGGTGCTGATGTTTTATCCTCTCGGAAAAAACTCAGAAAAACACCCACCCTCTTCTACGTCCGAGGGTTAAGTAGTTTTAGCCTTCGAATACAGTCGCATCTATCTATACGATTTTAAACGAGGCTAAATCTTCAGCTTCGATAAAGGAAAAGATTTTAACAAAGAGAAAACTAGATGATTATTAAGGAAAGTTTTATTAAAAGCCGTTCAATCAATTTACGCCCAGTGATTGAAACTCTGGGGTTTGTTTAGAAAACTCTATATTATATTTAAATCGAAAAGCCTAGCCTTCAACAGCTTAGGAAGTCGTCGCCCAGCTCATAGGCCTTTTGCAGCTTGCCATTTACGTGGTAGGAAACCGCAATGCTGGGACGCAAAAGTCGCACTGGGGAAAGACCAACAAAAGGCATACATTATTTTAAATAGTAATTTCCTTTGTTCGTCTTGTCCAAGTGCGACTTTTGCGTCCCAGCATGGTGGGTTTGTACCACGAGAATGGCAAGCTGCAAAGGGCCTATTACACAGAAGGGAAGGAAAAAGTTAAAAACATGCTCTACCATTTGTTCCTAGTAATTTCTTCTGTCCGTTAACCAAAAATGAAAAACACACCATCGATAAAAGTTTGAAATGTCTTCAGGTATCACAATGTTTTATCAGATCATGGCTTGAGCTAAAGCAGGGTTTGTTTTTGGCTTCACAGTCACAACATGGCAAGCAGAGCTACAAATAGCACAATCACCGCGTAGGGCGTGGTCTTGGTGGAGACTGAAGTTGGGGATGTAGATTCTTTAGTGGTTGCGCTCATGTCACACGTTTTCAGTGCCTCAATGTCGCTGACATATTCGTCTCCCAGATACCCTTTGTAGGTCCTTTTGTCTTTTGAGATGCCTACCAGTTCGGTGGAGGAATCTTTGAACAGCAAATTGGCGTCGCCGTATTTTGTGGAGTTAAATAGTTGAAATTTTGTCCAGTCGGTCTGGCTGGAGCCATACATGCTGCTCATGGCTGTTAAAATGGTGACAATGTCGTCAAGGTAGTTGTCTTTTCTTGTGACGACGGCATGGGCCGGGTTAAACCCAAGGAAACACTGCTCATGTTGTCCAATGTCTGGTAAAAACAAAAGTTACCGTTAGTTTACACAGGGTTCCTAAAGAGTCTTGGATTATTGAAAAAGTCTTGAAAAATGGTAAAAAGTTTTGATTTTTTACAAG